TTTCTCCTGCTTTAGGGCCCTTGCATATAACCCTTTCCACACTATGCCTGGACCCTCCAGCTTTGTCTTCATATCTGGGACTTCACCCCTGGCCCTGTGTTAGTGCCAACCTTGCTTTGAACCCATACATGTAACCCATATATTGTGTCTGGTCTCTTGCACTGTGTATACATCTCCACAGACTCCACTCCAGCCAGTTACCTGTGACTCCCTTGCTCTGAACCCATACCTGTATATACTGTATATTGTCTGGTCCCTCTTGCTGTGTCTACATCTCTTTAACCTCCCCTTTGTCTGTGTCTCCCTGTCTCTGAGCCCATACCTATAATCCATTGTGTCTGGTCTCTTCCATTGTGTCTTCTTCTAAGTAACCTCCCCTCCAGCCCTATGTCTGGTCTCCCTTGCTCTAACCACATACCCGTTATCTCTCTCCTTCCATCACATGACTCTAACCCCTTCCACATTGTGTCTTGACCCTCTCACCTTCCATTTATGTTCATGACTTCCCCTTCACCCTTATACTTGTGCCTCTCCATTCCCTGTCTATCCTTATATCTGTGGTCTTCCTTTCTCCTGCCAAATGGCTGTATTTCTCCTGCTTCAGGGGCCCTTGCAAATAATCCTTTCCACACTATGCCTGGAACCTCTAGCTTTGTCTTCATATTTGCGACATACCTCTGGCCCTATATTGGTGCCAACCTTTCTCTGCACCCATATCTGTATATTGTGCCTGGTCTCTTTCTCAGAGTCTACATCTCCGTAGCCCCCACTCCAACCCTTTGACTGTGTCTTCCTTGCTCCGAGCCCATAATTGTTCTGTCTCCTTTCCAGGTCTATGACTGTATCCTCCTTCCACATTAATTTTGGACCCCCTCACTCTGTTTTTATGTTTATGAGCTCTGTCTGTCGCTATATCTGTGGTCTCCCTTTCTCCTGCCTAATTTCTGTATTTCCTTCCAGGCATTTCCTCATTTCTGTATTTCCTTCCTTCTGGGCCCTTGCACATAACCCTTTCCAAGCTACACCTGGACTGTCTTCATATAAGGGACCTCACCTCTAGCCCTATGTTGATGCCACCCTTGTTCCAAGCCCATACCTTCTCCCCTTTTCTTTTCACACCTATACCTGGAACTCCTGCACATTGCATCTGATTATATACACCCTGTCTTAATGCCTGTGACCTCTCCTCTGTCCATGTCCCCTCATTCTGTTTTCCTGTGACCCCCTCTCTGTTTATGTCCCCCCACTCTGTTCGCCTGTTCGCCATGTCCCCTTACCTGCACCTTTTCTTTCTCTATCCCCATATCTGTGTTCCTTCTACCCCAGCCTGTCCTTCATCAGACTCCAACTCCATTTAATCTTTGTGTCCTCTCCACTAGTGGTATTTTTTAATTTTTTTCCTTACCTTTTATGATATCTTAAAGCCCTGGTAGGTGGTCCTGGATGATTCATGATCTTCTCCCAGTGGTGGGTGGTCCTGGATGATTCATGATCTTCTCCCAGTGGTGGGTGGTCCTGGATGATTCATGATCTTCTCCCAGTGGTGGTTGGTCCTGGATGATGCATATATGCACTGTGAGTGTTGGACACCCTGCTCAGGGGTGGGGCCAGGACACTTTAGGTAGTGCAAAGTATTGGGCATCATTCAGCTCAGAAGACTGAGGACATCTTGTGGTGAGGAAGAGGTACTACGGGGGACAGCTAAAACATGAAGGTGAGTATTGCAGCCTGTTTTTGTTTAAGTCTATGGGGCTCTTCTACCTGCATCTCCTGGCTGGGAAACAGAGGTGGATGAGCCTCATAAAAGTGGGCGCAGCCAGAGAGAGGGGACGTGTGGCTATGTTTCCTCTGCTTAAGGGCTCCTGCACCACTCAATAAAGGGCACACTTTAATAGCTTTTACATACTGTAGTCTGGCCTTTCGTACTTTATTTCCAGCTCTGCATGCTAGCAGACATACTACTGCATGTGGTCCAATGACCACAATTAGAGAAACCGGGGATTATAGTTATCCATTCACATAGAAAATGACAAGGCTGTCCTGGTGGATTTGTCATATTAAGTGCCCCATCAGACTCCCTCACCTTTGTACGATCTTCCCACCCTGTCATAGTGGACACGCTCTCCTCCCTCCCGCTGGTCGGTGACTTGCTCTCTCTGTAATCTCTCACAGCAGCACGTTTCCTGAAGATCAATAGAACAAGTTCTTGCAGCAGTATTGGGCTTTATGCCTGGGCAGTGGGATGCCATTCTAGATGACTTTTTCCCTCCTGTTACCCTGCGGCTTTCTATTTCTCCTCTGTAGAAGTTTTGCAGGATGGCAGCTACTAAATCACGATTTGAAGAGAGCACTATATATACAGTGGTTTACATAGTATTCATCCACATCAGTCCCTGCCCTCACAGAGCTTACAATCTAAGGTCCCTATCTCACATGCATGCTCATATTAAGGCCAATTTAACTTAGCAGACTGTTTTTGGAGTGTTGGAGGAAATCAGTGTACCCATAGGAAGCCAATACAAGCACAGAGAACACATACAAACTCCATGCAGATAGTTTCCTGACCAGGGGCAGACTGACAACTCATGGGGCCCCAGGCAATAGGGGATCATGGGGCCCCTGTGTCCTTGCCCAAACTCAAAAAAGCCCATGAAAAAGGTACCAGGGGCATCTCATGGGCCCCCTACTGACCCCGTGCCCTCGGGCAGTGCCCGAGTTTCCAAATGGTCAGTCTGCCCCTGGTTCTGACCAGGATTTAACCTGGGGACCCCATTGCTAACCTCAAACAACTGATTTCTCTGCTCCCTTGTGTTGAGCCCATGTTGAATGGTGCAGATCCGCACAGCTCAACAGACATGCTGTGAACAAACCCTTAGCCCTGGTTCACACCTTGGAGCCCGAGCTACTTCAGTGCGATTTCAAAGCCACTGATCAGTGTGACTTCAGACACAAATATCAATGCAAGTCGCACATGAAACCACACAAAAATAGCGCAGGAACCTTTTTCCAAGTCACACCAATTTGATCTGTTCCATAGTGGCAAATAGGGTGCGACTTGTCATGTGACTTTGATCTGTCATGACAAGTCGCACCCGGTGTGGTATTACTGGCCAATAGGGAGGTGGGAGGGGTGCGGTCAAGTTGGACCTTTACAGGAAAAATTAAGATTTGCATATAATGTCAGGGATGGACAGATGGATCCTGAGATAAATAGATAGAGAGAGAGAGAGAGAGATAGATAGATAGATAGATAGATAGATAGATAGATAGATAGATAGGTAGATAGATAGATAGATGGATGGATGGATAGATAGATAGATAGATGGAGATAGATAGATAGATAGATAGATGGATGGATAGATAGATAGATAGATGGATGGATAGATAGAGATAGATAGATAGATAGATAGATAGATAGATAGATAGATAGTAAATAGATAGAAAGATGATAGATGGGTCTACCGAATTCATGACATGTGGTTTTCATGAAAGGTGATCATACCTATGTCATGTTTCCTGACATGTTTAGTATGTAGGTTGGACATTCCCTGATTGGTTTAACAATTTATTAACTTTATTTCTCCATCACAAAAAACTGGATGACTTTATTCTGGAACAAATTGAAAACACTATAGAAATTGCCCATCAGGCGCTTAGTAATATGTTTTTGACTCCTTATAATTAGATTTCATTCCCTTCACAAGGGAAATGCTCGGAGGCTGGTCCTTTGTGACTGATCAGCACCTTGAATTCCCAGACAAAAACCAACCTGCCCTCTGGAGCCGGTCTTGCTTGGATTTGTAGTCCCACAAAGGCGATAACCTCTTAACACTCATGTCATCCATAAAACTTTATGTCTTTAATTAAATAGCGGCCGTTGCTGACTCTGTTTTTTTATTTCTCTTTAAACCTATAACGAGTCCCCGGTAAAGGAACGGTATGGAGATTTATTCTGGCACGCGGTCCTATCTCCCAAACACATAATTTAGCCATTAAAGGTGTTAGTTGTGTTCTGTTCCTGGGTTTGCAGAGTAATTATCTGGCAGTCATTAGTCAAGCAGGTATACGTACAGTAAATGTCTGCCTGTGGCCAAAAGTGTCTACGCAGAGTAATGGCGAGAAAGTTTGTGCCGGGTATAAAACAAGCGCACTGACTAGCACAAAAGATCGCCCGAGCGTATATTTCTTCAATTTATTTATCTCCCGTGTTTACAAAGTGGCAACGTATTGAGTCATGCTTTATAGAGTATATAAAGTCCATCAGCGTACAGTCTGCTGCTCCGTCACAGGCGCACACTCTGCAGGGTCCAGGTTCCCCGATGGAGAGCATTAGAGCATTGAAGCCCAACAGTACCGGGACAGGTTCGTCCAGCACATGCTTAATTTAGTGTGTATTGCTAGAGAGGTTTTTTTTTTTCTTGGTAGAGTGCATGTGATCAGCACAGGGCCAATCAGCACTGTCCAGAGAGTGGATCAGGGTTTCTGCATCCTCCTAGAGCAGAAATAAAACCTCCTACAAGCTTTAACCATTGCGCTGCGGAACACTGATAGAAGTCACAAGACTGCTGTATACTGCTGATGAAAAAAGGTATTTAGCAGTTTATATTTACTAAAATAATTGCATTTCCATGTTGTGTGTACTGTGGGAGACTGGATATAGGGAATGCAGGATCTGGGGAGACCAGATAACAGTGAATGCAGGGTCCGTGGAGAGTGGATATATAGTGAATGCAGGGTCCGTGGAGAGTGGATATATAGTGAATGCAGGGTCCGGGGAGACCAGATATAGTGAATGCAGGGTCCAGGGAGACCGGATATAGTGAATGCAGGGTCCGGGGAGACCAGATATAGTGAATGCAGGGTCCGGGGAGACCGGATATAGTGAATGCAGGGTCCGGGGAGACCAGATATAGTGAATGCAGGGTCCGGGGAGAGAGGATATAGTGAATGCAGAGTCCTGGGAGACCAGATATAGTGAATGCAGGGTCCAGGAGACGGGGGGGAGAGCGGATATAGTGAATGCAGGATTCGAGGAGACCAGATATAGTGAATGCAGAGTCCGAGGAGACCAGATATAGTGAATGCAGGGTTCAGGGAGACCAGATATAGTGAATGCAGAGTCCGGGGAGATATAGTGAATGCAGGGTTCAGGGAGGATATAGTGAATGCAGGGTTCAGATATAGGAGACCAGATATAGTGAATGCAGGGTCCGGGGAGACCAGATATAGTGAATGCAGGTCCGGGGAGACCAGATATAGTAAATGCAGGGTCATGGGAGACCAGATATAGTGAATGCAGAGTTCGGGGAGACCGGATATAGTGAATGCAGGGTCCGGGGGACCAGATATAGTGAATGCAGGGTCCGGGGGGTTCGGGGAACCAAATATATACCTACATGGAAGAAAAATGGAAGAAAAATATATTTTAAAAATATTCTTCCCAAATATATTGACATATATTTGAAATGCTACAATTTTGCCCATATTCAATATATTTCACTATATATATATATATATATATATATATATATATACACACACACTGCATATTGAAATGTGTTTTTATTACAAAATATATGAAAAATATTTTAAAAAAATACATTTCAAATATACAGTATGTCTTTAAAAATACAAATCTACATTTTTGGAATGCATTTACAAATATATGTAAAAATATATATGTTAAAATTACTTTTTTATATGTTAAAAAAAATCTGAAGAATATATTTAAAAAATATATATTTTTAAAAATATTTTTCATATATTTTGTAATTATAATAAACATTGGTCAATCAGTGATCACATGAGCAGTAGTAAACAAGATGTCACTTCTGACATCAATGCTTACCACGTGTGAAATCTGTGAATGATTACAGAGGTCACATGGTACAAAGCTATTCACAACAGCCTTGTACCATGTGACCAGCTGTGACCAATCTTAGCTCACGCAGTATTTCTCAATGGCTGCAAGAATGCAGCCAAAGAGAAGGCGAAATAATATTTAAAAAAAATAAGAAAAATTAGAATTTTTGGTTATAAACTAATTTGGTTTATTTTTTTTTTTACTAAAAAATGATAACTGAATAAATTTTGGCCTGCTGAGGTTTACATATGACTTTAATTCCTGGTTTTAACTGGAGCGTAACTTTAAATAGAAAGGCGTCTCTGACCACCTTGAGAAGACAATAAATGCGGGGAGTCTTCCCTTCGGAGGATTTTTTTTCTTAGCAATCACAGCTGCTAAATGGAAACAACCGAGCTGGTAATTAAGCCAGCTTTGCAGGAGAAGACACTTCTAGAAAACCCACTGGGTGGGATATCACAGAGGAGTGCTGACACCGACACTCGTGCCAGGCTCGGCATTTTCCAGACGGGCAGTTTTTACCTGCAAACATAAGCGACAAATTGAGCCATCAATGTGCGCAAATGGCCATCACTCATACATGGGAATCGTCTTCCCGTCCTGCAGGAAATGCTCATATAATAGCCATGTCCATTTAGGCTCCCGGCACTAACACCTTCATTTTTTTTTCCCTGACAATGGATTCCACTTAGACAAATTGCCGCGTTTTACCCTTTAAAGAAGACCTCTGCCAATGCTACTTGCATCTAAGCTGGTCATGTGACTTAACCCCCCCGCTGTCATTTAATAAAACCCTTCAGATGTCTATACGCTTGAAAAAATATAAATCTGATGAAAGCTCTAGCTGGGTGACAACGCATTGTGTATTATCAACCATTGACTTTTTTAACTACTTTCAGTCCGGACACTTTTTACAACCTTCCTGCCCAGGCCAATTTTCAGCCTTCAGCGCTATCACACTTTGAATGACAATTGCGCGGTCATGCAACACTGTAGCCATATGAAATTTTTAGAATTTTTTGAGACAGATAAAGCTTTATTTTTGTGGTATTTATTCACCACTGGGATTTTTTTTTTTTTTTTGCTATACAAATGAAAATGTCCAAAAATTTTGAAAAAAAAGTGTTTTTCTTATAACATTTTGCAAAAATAAATAATATATCTTCATTCAGTTATATTTTTAGTAAAAAAAATAAAATAAACCTTGGCCAAAAAAATAATTTAAAAATAAAAAAATTTGTATTTCATTTTTTATATTATTTTTATGTTTTGTTTTTTTCTACATACTGTCACCCTAGCAGTACAGTGTCACCATGGTGACACTGTAACTTGTGGGGGTGATGAAGTTTTTTTTTTACACTGATTATACACCCATGAAGGCTGTAAAAGCAATAATTTTTCTCCTCTCTGGCGGCATTCTTGCAGCCATTGAGAAATACTGTGTGAGCTGTGATTGGTCACAGCTTGTCACATGGTACAAGGCTGTTGTGAATAGCCTTGTAGCATGTGATCTCTGTGATCATTCACAGATTTCACACGTAGTAAGCAATGATGTCAGAAGTGACATCTTGCTTACTACTCAGCATGTGATTACTGATTGGCCAATCAGTGATCACATGATCGGGACCTCGCACAGAGTACGATGATCGGTGTTTCACTGAGTGATGATCGGTGATCAGTGTTTCACTGTGTCCGGAGGACACAGCAGGCACCACCCGCCCCTGCACTGCCACCGTCCGGCCGTTTATATACAACGACGGGAAGTTGGTAAAAAAAAAACGAAATAATTGTGTAGCTCCCTCGTAGAGTAGAGTAGGGTGCTAGGTAAATTTAGTTGGCTCTTCTGTAATCAGAGGATTAATTAGGGCTGCTCAGTGCCTCATGGGCTGCTGTGTCAGTTACTTCCCCTAGTCTTCTAGAGCTGTGGTCTCCAAACTGTAGCCCAGGGGGCCGGATGTGGTCCTTTGATTTTCTTTATCTGGCCCTTGGGGAACTATTCCTTTTTCTCTAATATGAGGCACTATTTGACCTACTGACACCGACAAGGAAACACTACTGCTCTCAGTGACACCGACAATGGGGCTAGGGTTGCCACATCATCCCTTTAACCGCCTCCCACTCGCCATATAGTATGTATATAATATGACGGACGCAAGGTGGTTCTCTCGTTCTGGGAGGACGTCATATGACGTCCTCCCATTCTCACTGCGCATGCGCGGCTCAGGGAGCGCGCAGCGCGGCGATTGGCGGTGCGCTGTGTCCCTAGGACACAGCGGATTACCGATCACGGAAAGAGACGAAGATGTCAGCTCAGTCATGGCATTTCTCTCCTCTCGAGCTGTCACACTGACAGAGGAGAGGAGAGCTGGTAATCAGCTTTCCACGGAGGGGACATGTACACTGATCATCAGGGCACAGATGATCAGTGTGCCCTGAAGATCAGTGTAGCCCCAGCAGTGCCACCTGTCAGTGTCCATAAGTGCCTTATGTCAGCGCTCATCAGTGCCTCGTGCCAGTGCCCATCAGTGCCACATATCAGGTCCCATCTGAGCTGCCTTTCAGTGTCACCCATCAGTGCCAGTCAGTGCCACCTATCAATGCCAATCAGTGCCACCTATCAGTGCTGCCAATCAGTACCACCTATCAGTGCCAGTCAGTGCCGCCTATCAGTGCCAGTCAGTGCTGCCTATCAGTGCCTGTCAGTGCCAGCCTAACAGTGCCAGCCTAACAGTGCCAGTCAGTGCCGCCTATTAGTGCCAGTCAGTGCCGCCTATCAGTGCTGCCTATCAGTGCTGCCTATCAGTGTCATTTATCAGTGCTGCCTTTCAGTGCACATCAGTGATGCCTGTCAGTGCCCATCAGTGCCACCTACCAGTGCCTCCTCCTCAGTGCCCATCAGTGCACCTATCAGTGTCCATCAGTGCCCATCAGTGCCCATCAGTGCCTCATTAGTGCACATCAGTGAAGAAGAAAAATCGCTTATTTACAAAATTTTGTAACAAAAACTAAGAAAAAAATTTTTTTTTCTACATTTTCTGTGGTTTTTGGTTTCTTTAAGAAAAACTAAAAAAAACCCAGAGGTGATTAAATACCACCAAAATAAAGCTCTATCTGTTACAAAAAAATGATAAAAGTTTCATATGGGTACAGTGTTGCATGACCGCGCAATTGTCATTCAAAGTGTGACAGCGCTGAAAGCTGGAAATTGGCCTGGGCAGGAAGGGGTATAAGTGCCCTGTAGGCGAGGGGTTAAAACGGAACACTTATTTTACTGTTGTGGGTTTAGTAACACTTTAACTTCTTGTGAATGGGAATAGTCATACATGGATTGCAATTGGGCCAGTTCCTGCTGAATTGTGATCCATATCTGGCCAGCTTTAGAGGCCTTTCACCCTGTCCCAGTGGGACAAAGTAGATTGGCCTAATGAGATGATGAAACCAGAATTCTGCAGATTATATTTTATGTCTCACTATTTGTGTATATAGATCATGTAATAAACGATATTATCCTCATTGCTGGTAATCGTTGTGTATATCGCTCGTTCTGGCCGGAAGGGCGTGGCTACAAGGTCACACGCACACCGCATCACTCCCACTTGTACGGAAGACGTCAACACTACGTATTGCCCGACGGGCAATTTTTTTTAGATTGGTTAATGTGGGTCAAGATTTCGACCAACCAACGAACGAACGCCTCTCGTCGGATGACCGATCAGTCGATTTTCTAATCATCTATTCCCACCTTTAGAGTGCCATACCAAAAGCACCATATATTTGTTTTATCACACAAGTACAAAAAAACAACAACTTTTTTTCAGGGCTATAGGATTCCCCCTTTAAGAAGGAGGACCTGTCATTCCTGTTCAGACATAACATCACTTGGTATTGTTAGCTATAATTTTCCTCCCATAAGGTTAGTAATATCAAAGAGGCATTCCTGAAAAAAGAAGGAGATGAGGGGGGAGGAAGCGTTTGTAGGAAATGACAGAGAACATGCTTTCAATTGAACTCAGATACATTAAAAACTGCTGCAAGCCTTATCAGAAACATTAAAGGATAGCTGTAGTCTCCAAAAACAATTATAGCTCTGCGGTAGGCAGACTCTGCACTGCCAGATAGGAAATAGAAAGGGGTACCTTTTACCTGAGGCAGGCGCGCTTTTAAATGGCTAGACTGTTCGAGGTCAACGCTCTCGGATTTATATGCAGCAAGCAAAGGGCAGGTGCAGTACGCCTGCTTTCAGGGGCGGACTGAAAACTCATGGGGCCCCAGGGCAATAGGGGATCATGGGGCCCCTGTGTCCTTGCCCAAACTCAAAAAAAACCTATGAAAAAGGTACCAGGGGCATCTCATGGGGCCCCCTACTGTCCCCGGGCCCTCGGACAGTGCCCGAGTTTCCAAATGGTCAGTCCACCCCTGCCTGCTTTATACTGTGTTCTACATGGACATGGCATGTAGACACCTGAGAATATTTAACCATGCCTCGAGTCC